ATAGGAATTATGTAAAAACTACAGATCAGTTTGAAGAGAACTGACATCTCAAATATCAATGAATGTATATGTCTCGACTTATTTAGATCTTCTTTGATTTCTTTTATTAGTGTTTTGTAATTTTCAGCATACAAGTCCTGTACATGTTTTATTAGATTTATACCTAAGTAATTTTTTGTTGTTGTTGAGTGATTGTGAATGGGATTCAGCTTTTAACTTCAGTTTTCACATAATCATTGCTAGTACATAGAAATGCAGTATATTGGTATGTTGATCTTGTATTATGTGATCTTGATGAACTCATTTATTCTTGTAGTGTGTGTATGCATGGATCCCTTTGAATTTTCTGCAGAGATAATTGTGTCATTTGCAAACAGTGACAGTTTTTAAAAATCTGTATGTCTTTTTCCTTTTTATTGCCTTATTGCACTGACTAGGACTTCCTATACTATGCTGAATAAGAGCTGTGGGAGTGGAATCCTTGCCTTATTCCCAGTCTTGTGAAGAAAGCACTGATTTTTACCATTAAGTATGATAGTAACTGTACATATTTTTAGGTACTCTGTGTAAAGTTGAAGAGGTTTCTCTCTTTTCCTAGCTTGGTGAGGTTACTATGAATGTGTGTTGAATTTTGTCACATTTTTTCCTACATTATTTGATATGTGATTTTGCTTCACTGGTCTATTAATATGGTGGATTAATATATTGAACTATTCTTGCATTCGCGGAATAAACCTCACTTAGTCGTAGAGCATGATTCTGTTGATATATTTTTGGGTTCAATTTGCTAATTTTCTTTCTTTTTTTTTTTTTTTGAGATGGAGTTTTGCTCTTGTTGCCTGGACTGGAGTGCAATGGCTCACTGCAATCTCCACCTCCTACGTTCAAGTGATTCTCCTGCCTCAGCCTCCTGAGTAGCTGGAATTACAGGCATGCGTCACCATGCCTGGTTAATTCTGTATTTTTAAAAGAGATGGGGTTTCTCCATGTTGGCCAGGCTGGTCTCGAACTCCTGACCTCAGGTGATCCACCCGCCTCGGCCTCCCAAAGTGCTGGGATTACAGGCATGAGCCACCACGCCCAGCCTCAATTTGCTAATGTTTTTTGAGGACTTTGTGTATGTAGGATATGAACGGTATTGATCTGTATCCTGTATCCTTCAATATTAAGGATATTGGGCTGGGTATGGTATGTAATGAAATGTAATGAAAACTGTAATCCCAGTTTTCTTAGTACAGTCTGACGGCTTTGGTATTAGGAAAATATTGGCATCATAAAATGAATTTGTACTTCTCTGATGATTAATGATATTGACCATCCTTTCATGTGCTTACTGCCCATTTGCATATGTTCCTTCATAAATTGCCCATTCTTTCGTTTTTTGTTTTTTTTTTTTTTTGAGACGGAGTCTAGCTCTGTCACCCAGGCTGGAGTGCAGTGGCGAGATCTCGGCTCACTGCAAACTCCGCCTCCTGGATTCACGCCATTCTCCTGTCTCAGCCTCCTGAGTAGCTGGGACTACAGGCGCCCGCCACTACGCCCGGCTAATTTTTTGTGTTTTTAGTAGAGACGGGGTTTCATCGTGTTAGCTAGGATTTTTTCTTGATCTCCTGACCTCGTGATCCGCCCGCCTTGGCCTCCCAAAGTGCTGGGATTACAGGTGTGAGCCACCGCGCCTGGCACCCATTCTTTCATCTAGTTTTTTTTCGAAGCAGAATTTCGCTCTTGTTGCCCAGGCTGGAGTACAGTGGTGCGATCTCAGCTCACTGCAACCTCTACCTCCTGGGTTCAAGCGATTCTCCTGCCTCAGCCTCCCAAGTAGCTGAGATTGCAGACGAGCGCCACCACGCCCAGCTATTTTTTTTTTTTGTATTTTTAGTAGAGACGGAGTTTCACCATGTTGACCAGGCTGGTCCCAAACTCTTGACCTCAGGTGATCCGCCTGCCTCAGCCTCCCACAGTACTGGGATTACAGGTGTGAGATACCGGGCCTGGCCTTTTGCCCAGTTTTGAACGTTTTTCTGAATTACTGGGTTGTAAGAGTCTTTAATATATTCTGTATGTAAGTCCCTCTTCATCAGATATTTGTTGTATAAATATTTCCCCCTACTCCATAACTTTCATTTTCTTAATATGAAGTTTCAAACAACATAAGTTTTAAAAGTGATAAAACCCAACTTAATTTTTTCTTCTAAGATTTATGTTTTTCATGTCCTCTTTAATGAAGATTTTCTTCTAGGCACTTCATGGTTTTCATGCTTATATTACTCATTTTTCCCCTATACAAAATTTCAGTTGTTACAGAACTGTGTTGAAAACTCTATCTTTTCCCTTTATCTTTGCATCTTTGTTGAAAACCACTTGAAAATATATGGGTGAGTCCAATTCTGTTTGCCTGTATGTGCATCCTAGATCCAGTACCATTCTATCTTGATCACTATAGCTTTAGTCTTGAAAAAAGACTGTAATCCCAGCACTTTGGGAGGCTGAGGCGGGTGGAACACGTAAGGTCAGGAGTTCAAGATCAGCCTGGTCAACATGGTGAAACCCCATCTCTACTAAAGATACAAAAAAATTAGCCAGGCATGGTGGCACACACCGTAATCCCAGCTACTTGGGAGGCTGAGGGAGAAGAATCACTTGAACCCAGAAGGCAGAGGTTGCAGTGAGCCGAGATCGTGCCACTGCACTCCAGCCTGGGTGATAGGAGGAGACTCCATCTCAAATAAGAAAAAAGAAATCTTAAAAAATAGTTTTGACTTTGTAGGTCCTTCAGGTTTATAACTCATGAATACAGTGTATCTATTTATTTTAGGACTTCTTTACTTTCTTCTAGCATTAATACATGTTTTGTAGCTTTAGTACAGGTCTAATAACTTTGTCCCTATATTTCATGATTTTGATGCTGTTTTCATAATTTCAGCTTTTTGAAAATATTGAGCTTGTATCCTGTGACCTTGCTAAACATACTTACTAGTTTTAAAAACATTTTCAGACACTTTTATGCTTTTCCATACAGACAATCATGTCACAGCAAACAGTCTCATGCGTTCTTTCACATTCTGTATCCCTTTTCTTCAGACAGGGTCTCACTCTGTCACCCAGGCTGGAGTGCAGTGGTACGATCACAGCTCCCTGCAGCCTTGACCTCCTGGGCCTCCAGTGATCCTCCTGTTCAGCCTCCTGAGTAGGTGGTACTACAGGCACATGCCACCATGCCTGGCTAATTTTTATTTAAGTTTTGGTAGAAATGAGGTCTCACTATGTTGTCCAGGCTAGTCTTGAACTCCTAAACCCAAGCAATCTTCCCACCTTGGCCTCCCAGAATGCCAGTATAGGCATGAGCTACCACACCCAGTCTCTTTTTTATTGGCTTATTGTACTGGCTAGGACATCCACTATAAAGTTGACTGGAAGTGGTGACTAGACATCTTTACCTTGTTTCCAATCTTAGGAGAAAAGTGCTTTTTATTTCACCATTAAGTACGATGTCAGATGTAGGTTCTCCCATAGATGCTTGCTCTTAGATTGTGGAAGCTCAATTTAATTCCTAATCAACTGAGCGGTTTTATCATGAATGGGTGTTAAATTTTTTCAACTGTTTTCCTACATTTAAAAAATTATGTGGTTTTTCTTTTTAATATTAGTATGAAACATATTGCTTTTTGAATGTTAAAGCTTGCATTTCTAGGATAAACCCTACTTGGCCATATGTGTTTCCTTTTATAGACTGCTGTGTTCAACTTGGTATTTTAAAAAGGATTTTTATGTCTATATTAAGAGATGTTGATCTATGAGTTTTTCCTATGATGTCCTTTCTGACTTTGGTATCTGGGTAATGTTGGTCTCATGACTTTTCTTTGGGGGAAGGTTATCAGCTACAAATTCAATTTAACAGGACTATTCAAGTTCTCTCTTGAGTGGGCTTTGGTTCTATATTCCTTACAATTTTTAATTCCATTTAAGTTGCTGAATTTATTGGCATTAATTAAGTTACTAATAAAATTCCTGTATTACCTTCTTGGTGTATAGGACCTATAGTGATATTTCCTCTTTCATTCCTGACACTTAGGAATTCTTTCAATCCTTTCAGAGAGCCAGGTTTTGGTTCCATTAAATTTTCTTTATTGTTTGTCTATTTGTAATTTTGTGACTTTTAGCTCTTTATCATCTCCTATTCTACTTGCTTTGGATTATTTCTGTTCTTTTTCTCATTTCATAAGGTAGAAGTTTAGACTATCAAATTGAAATCTTTTAATCTAAGTATTTAATACTCTGATTTCACCTCTAAGCACTGCTTTAGCTACATTTCACAAATTCTGACAATCATTCAGTTCAAAATATTTTCAAATTTTTCTCTTTATTGCTTATTTACGAGTATGATGTTTAATTTCCAAATATTAAGAGATTTTTTGGACATCTTTGTTATTGGTCTCTTACTTAATTCTGTCCTGATGAGAATATACCTTGTATGGTTTTCATTCTTTAAAAAATTTTAAGACTATTTTGTTATACTCCATAGTAGGCACACTTAAAAAGAATGTATACAGGTTGTGCAGTGGCTCACATCTGTAATCCCAGTGCTTTGGGAGGTCCCGGAGGGAGGACTGCTTGAGCCTGGGAGTTCAAAACCAGCCTGGGCAACAGAGCTAGACCCCACGCCTACAAAAATAAAAAATAGCTGGGTGTGGTGGCACATGCCTATAGTCCTAGCTACTCTGGAGGCTGAGGCAGGAGGATTGATTGAGCCCAGGAGTTCACGGTTGCAGTTAACCAATTGCACCACTGCACTCCAGCCTGGGTGAAAGAGTGACACTGTCCCTAAAAAAATAAAAAAAATTTAATATATCATGCTAATGAGTGAAGTGTTCTACAAATGTCAATTAGTCAAGTTAGTTGATAGTACTGCTCAAGGCTTGTATCTCCTAAGTGACTTGTGCTATCAATTACTTGATTAAATATCTAACTATAATTGAAATTGTGCCTTTTTCAATTTTGCCAGTTTTTATTTCATGAATTTTGAAGCTGTTTTATGTGTACTTAAGCTAGAAAGTAGCTTTGCTGTAGGATTCCCAAATTTCCACAATATAGAGGTCTTTCCCTTGGGGCCATTCAACTTCTGCAGAGAAGAAACTTCCCATCTCTTGCTGGACGTTAAACCTCTGGTCAGCCATGTACAGGAGTTGGGGAGCAGTCTGTGTGTTTATGTAATAAGGAGGAATGTTCCATATACAAATGGCCATTAGTTTCACTGCTTTCTCTTCACATCTCTCTCCCATCCTCCAAGGTACTAAGCATTTCTGAGCCTGGAGCCAAACTGGTTCCTTCTTTTCCTTATCCCCATATGTAAGCAGCGTAACTGTGCCTGCTTCTGCTCTACTGGCTATCTTTCCATCTTTCAAATTTTCATTTGCTGATAGTCTTTCTCCTATTCTCCTTATTGCTGTAGTTTGATAAATTAAAATTTTCCTTGCATCTTACTGTTGTCCAATGTGATGAGACATGCTTAACAAGAGCACATTCTTGAACACTTTCTCTGCTAGCCATTTTTAGCTTATCAAGCCCCAACATGATTTCTGCAGCCTCTAAGCTGCCCCCTGCTCCTTATGTATTCATTTTTCCAGCTCTGCCTCTGGAACCTATTTGTTGTTATCACCTGCTCTTAGGTACCCTCCTGAGTAGCTGTGTTTGAAGCTGTGTGCCAGCACACCAGCAAATTTCTGCACTTTTTTGTAGACAAGGTTTTGCCATGTTGCCCAGGCTGGTCACGAACTCCTAGGCTCAAGTGATGCACCCTCTTCAGCCTCCCAGAGTGCCAGGCATGTTACTTTGGACCCTCCCTCACATTCACTCTGGAAGTATCCCAATAAACTAGCTGTACTCACCAAAAAGGACTACTTATGTTCCTGAATAGTTGCCTGGGAGGGGCTGTTCAACTTCCTATCAAAATGGTATATGGGAATGTACTACATGAGTAACTCTCTTCCAGCTTTTTGTTGTGTGGCTACAAACTATTGTACCTGTCTGCAATAAACACAAGGATTTCCATGTCCCTTGTATTTCCAACTGCCCTCTTGGCCTAAAATGGACACAGTGTACAATCATAGTTTGGAGGTGGCTAATCAGGACTGGAAAGAAATATGAAAAACACAAAGCACATAATTTGAAGAGAAACCAGAGTTTCAATTTCTCAGAGAATGTGAACAAAGGAAAACATGCCCTGCTTGAGAATAAATATAAAGTTCTTGCCATTAAAATGCTGGGTAGAATATGTAGTTGAACTGTAAAGTACAGACACTTTTACTCTGCCCATCCGAAAATAAGAACAATCCATTCATTGTACAGCATAAAAAAGTGCTTGATACTTAAATACTTTGAATGATTTTTTCAGTGAGGAAACACATCTAAATAACCCTTACATCTCTCTCCTTTGTAGAATATAAAGGTAAGAGTGATACTAAATATGTAACAGTTTTTACAGTATGAGCGCCGTGAAGACCTGAATGGGCAAATGTCACTTAGCGAGGATCTTTCTTATGAACCCGCTGGTGGATGTGAAGGTTGGAGCTCTGGCTGAAGCCCTTCCCACACTTGCTGCACTCATAGGGCTTCTCTCCAGTATGTACTCTCTGGTGAATGAGGAGTTTGGAACTCTGGCTAAATCCCTTCCCACACTTGCCACAGTGATAGGGCTTCTCCCCAGTGTGGACTCTGAGATGGATGCGAAGATCCGAGCTCTGGCTGAAACCCTTCCCACACTCATAGCATTGGTAAGGCTTCTCTCCCGTGTGGATGCACCGGTGAATGTGAAGGTTCGAGCTCTGACTGAAGCCCTTCCCACACTCGCCACACTTGTAGGGCCTCTCTCCTGTGTGTACTCGCTGGTGGATGTGTAGGTTTGAGCGCTGACTGAAGCTCATACCGCACTCCCCACACTCATAGGGCTTTTCTCCAGTGTGGACTCGCTGGTGGATATGTAGTTTGGAGCTCTGACTAAAGCCTTTCCCACACTTGTCACATTTATAAGGTTTCTCGCCTGTATGGACAGCATGATGGATGAGCAGACTTGAGCTCCTGGTGAAGCCCTTCCCACACCTGTCACACTTATAAGGCTTCTCATCTGTGTGGACTGCCTGATGGATAAGCAGACTCGAGCTCCTTGTGAAGCCCTTCCCACACTGTTCACATTTGTAGGGTTTTTCTTCTATGTGGTCTCTCTGATGAAGTAGTAGTTCTGAGCTTTGACTGAAGTTCTTACCACACTGACCACATTCATATTGTTTCTCTGCAGTGTGGATTTTCTCATATGGATGACCATCTGGGCTGGTGTTAAGTATTTTCCCACAGTTATTATGGTCACAGGGTTTCTCCTCTGTATGAGCTCTCTGCTGACTACAACTGACCACCTGTGATTTCCATCCATAAATGTTTCTGCAGTTACAGTTAATGGGATCCAAAGATTCTTTTAACTGGCCATTCTGGCAAGTCGCCTCACCATTTAACAATGGCGAGGCCAGTTCTTTTCCATCAGACACCATTTTAACTTGAAGGTTCTCTGAAAAACTTTCTCCCTTTATCACTTTTCTCTCAGTGCTTTCTTCCGTTACAAAGAGATGTTTGCTTTCCTGATGATCCTGAGGCTCATTCTTACAGAACTTCACTGAAGAGTATTGTGTGTCTATTTGGCTTGGGACTTTCAAAGGCAAATATGTTTCACTTTCACTGTTTTTGAAATAATCACTTTGAAGAGTCATCACACTGTCCCTGTTTCTGGAAATACGAGAAGATGCTTCTCCCCACTGTTGACAAGGGGAAAGGTCTAGTTCAGGCTCCTCATCCACTTCCCCTTGATGATTCACGATACAATCCTGACTTCCGGTAATTGTACTGGCCATGCCTTCCAAAATTAGCCAGGAGGAAAGCTCATGTAACAGATCCTGAAGTGCTTTCTGCTGAAGATTCTCCACAGAATTTTCATTCAAGTCTCCTAGGGAACAGAGAGAATTCAGTGGTAAGAACAAAGGGTAGACTTCAAGATTTCAGAGTGAGAGTGCTTAAGGCCTGAAGGCTTAGTAACTACGAAAAAGTTCAGCTTGTCCTTATAGTCATGTCCTTTGGGTTAATGTCGGGTGCATTTGTATCTGGGTACAAGACAGAAATTTTCTCTTGGCTTTTAAGCATAGCCAAGGAAAGTCTTCCCTAACTAATCCTGTAAGTCCTACATCCTTGCTAACAGTAACATTTCATCTCATCTCACTTCTTTTTTTTTTTTTTTTTTTTTGAGACAGAGTCTTGCTCCACTGCCCAGGCTAGAGTGCAACAGCGTGATCTGGTCTCACTGCAACCTCCACCTCCCAGGTTCAAGCAATTTCCCCACCTCAGCCTCCCAAGTAACTGGGATTATAGGCCCACGCCACCATGCCCAGCTAATTTTTGTATTTTTAGTAGAGATGCGGTTTTACCATGTTGACCAGGCTGGTCTCAAACTCCTGGCCTCAAGTGATGCATCCGCGTCAGCCTCCCAAAGTGCTGGGATTACAGGCATGAGTCACTATACCCGGCCTACTTTCCTTTAAGTAAATTTGCATTTCATTGGTATTCTGCTTTCATAGGTATGGGGGACACAAGGAAGAAAATATAAATCCTTTTGCTTAACAAGCTAAAGCTTCCTGGGAAGACAAATATACCAAATAATGATAATACTAAGTGAGTGGTGTAGATGAATGTATAGTACAATACAGTACAAGAGATGTATACATAACCAGCTAGGAAAGTACAGAAGAGGAACACTCAACTCAGACCCCGGTGTTTAGGAAGATTTCTGGGAGAAAATGACAAGAAATAAAAAAAAAAAAAAAAAAAAAAAGAAGTGAAACGTGGAGAGAAAATATGACATGTTAAAGAAAACTACAAGTGGCTTCTTATGAAGGAGATAAAAACGGTAAGAGTGGTGAAGAATGTGCCACAGAGAGGAAGTAAGGAGCCAGAGCAAAGGGCTTAGTGTCTAATAATAAGGACCTTAGGGCTAAACCCTGCACGGATTGAAAACTATTAAAGGATTTAAATTCAGAGTGAAATAATTGACTTTGTGACTATAAACACCACTGGAAAGTAAGACTTTAGGTAGCAAGATGGCTGCCATAGCAAATCATAAGAAAAACAGTAAGGATGATAGTTGTGGAGAGAATGGGAGAAATTCATTCTAGATCATGTGATGATAAATTAAACCTAGAAGAGAAAGGAGGCCCCAAGCCTGTTCCTTGGGTTTGCTGCCTGAGTGAATGGGTACCATGGTACTCTATAATCAGGGAGGAAATGCAAGAGGAAGAGGCTGAAGTAGGGAAGGGGGCAGAAACTCAAATCTGCGTTGTATAATCTGTGGTGTTAGTGGAACATTCTTGCAGTACTGGTCAGTAAGCAGTGAGATATATATAGGTCTGGAAGTCCTGTGAGAGAACTGTGCTAGGAATACAGAGTTTAGACTTACTGGTATATTAAAAAACCAAAACCAAAACAAAACCCTCCCCCAGACTTACTACAACAGTTAGAGTGAATAGCCTAATATTACACTGAAATGACAAGAAATCTATAATAGTCTTGGGAAAACAGAAAGGTCGACATCATCAGAATAAAAACATCGAGGAACTCGTAAATGATAAAGAGCAGATGGATTAGGAGTGATGGAGAAACTAGGGGAAAAACGTACAGCTCAAATTATATATAACAGAAGGCTTCCTCATGGGTAAAACATCTTAAGAAATCATAGAAATTCAATTACCAAACTCAGAATCAATTATTACAAAGTAAGGTAGCACTGACCCCATTTTCCTGGAGTCTATGTCTCAGAAAATAATAAACAGTGATAAAGACATTTCTTAATTCAACTTAGGCATTCCTAACGTGCTGTGCTAGTTTTTGCTGTTAGCAGCATTCTCCCAGCCCACCCTCTTCCTCTTAGAAATAGAAATATTGGATGGCTAGCAGCAGTGGCCTCATATAAAGCCTCAAGAATAAAATAAATGATCTGCCAAAGAAAGACTGCTAATAATGTTAACTGAACTGAACAGAGAAGCAGAGGTTGAGGTAATGCTAAACCTACACAATGACCGATGGATTGAGGAACAAAAAAGCAGCAACTGACAACATAAGTGCCCAGGATAAAACTTCAAGCTAATCTTTTTAATGGGAGTTCTGACAAGGAAGATAGCCCAGGTCTGGCAATGAAGAAGCAGAGCATGCCCCCAGTAACTCAGTGGCAAAAGAGGTGGCCTTAAAAAATGGCCTACACCACTGTGCAGGGGAGTACAGGGAATAGGAGGCCCACCTGAGGCTCAGCCCTAGCCCTTAGACCACTCGTGGGGGGAGTTTACTACCTGGGTAGCCCCCTTGCCCACACATCCAGCTACAAAACAATTCAAATTTTTTATTTTTCCTAAAATAAAACCTCACTTAGCTCTGCCAACTGTCAAAAAAAAAAGAAAAGAAGAAAAAAAAAAAGAAAAAAAAAAGGCCTACAACATCTACCATCTGGATTCTTATTACCTCCCTCCCTAGCCCAATCAGCAGAAGCGTCCCCTAAAGTAGAACACACATACATGCCAAAGTGGGTCAAGCATGGGTTGAGGACACACTCCAATATCATACTGAGAACACAAGAATTTTGAAAAAATATATAAGGAGACAAACAGAATTTAAAAGGTACATAATTAAAATCCCAGAAACACTGGAGTGGATATCATATTTAAACACAATCTAATAATAAAATATAAACATATTGCTATGAAAATAATAATTCTAAATAAAATGACTGAAGATGATGATAGGTTATGTAACTTGTTTCCTAGATATGTGTCAGGCTGTTTTAGTCAAAGGCCTGCAATTTAGATGAGTTAAATAGTAAAATGAACATATGGCTAAGATGGAAGATTGAGGAATTCTCCAAGAATGCATATGAAAAGACAGACAGATAGAAAGATAAAAGTAAAAGCCCATCTCCAAGGAGTTGCATGAGGACAGTGAAGATTGAACACATGGAGAGAAAATGATCAAAGAAAACAACAAAAAAATGTTTCCTAGAATGCAAGATTCAGGGCCCAATAAATGCTAAAAAATGGTATGTAAAAACACCCTGAACTAAACATACTCTTTTAAAACCTCAGGACTTCAAGGAAAAAACAAACAAACAACAACAACAAAAAACCACAAAATGCTAAAAGCTTCCAAACAGAAAAGCCAGGTTATGTGCAAATAAGTGAGAATTATATTGACACTGAACAAATAATTGGCAATACTGCAAATCTTCAATATCTTCAAATTTTGGGTTAAAAGTCATTGGGAAATTGTAATTTTTAACCAGCCAATTAACCATTTCAAAGAGAGGAAAAAATAGACACTCTTTCAAACATGAAAAGATTCAATTACTAAAACAATCACTCAGGAATATACTATAGGAAAATTTTTTAAAATTTAAGAAAAAGGATACATGCTACAAGAAATAACAGTAAGCCAAGAAGTCAATAAAATACATAATTAGGCCAAGCGTGGTGGTTCATGTCTGTAATCCCAGCATTTTGGGAGGCTGAGGCGAGGTGATTGCTTGAGCTCAGGAGTTCGAGACCAGTGTATGCAACATGGCAAAACCCTCTCTCTACAAAATACAAAACAAAACAAAAACCCTCAAACCCCAAAACCATAGTTGAAAAATAAAAGAAAAAAATAAAACTCTACAATAACAGTATGGAGTCAAAACCCCCCAAATAAAATATATTTTTAAAAGGCAAGTATTAGCGTCAGAGGAAAAATAAAAAAATAAAAAAGGAACTATAATCATATTGTACTACTTGACTCTATAGTGAACAACTAATTACAAAGTCAAAGCAATATAAACATTCATCACTGACATGACTCTAACAAATTCTTGGGAGGCTAGGCATTTGGGGAGGTAATATGAAAAAGCTACATCCTCATCTATAATATGGGGAAGTCAATAGAAATTACAAAATATTGATAAATGGAGAAATAACAGTATATCACAATACACTAAATTTAAATGATACTGAGGTACCATTTTCCACCTGTTAAACTAGCACAAACCCGAAGTCTGAAGACACACATTACTCGTGAGTGTAAACTGATATGAAGGACATTTTGACAATTATCAATCAATGTCATAAATATATGCACTCAACATTCCAACTTAGAGCTTTACTCTTCAGATTTCCAGGCATAATTTGTGAAATGACATTTACATGAGACTACTCACTTTTTAAGGGCCAATGACCAGAACCTGGATAGACAAGAGCTACAGACATGAAAGAAACTTTTCATTGTGCACCTTTTATATTTATTTTTTAACCATGTGAATGCATTTATTGTTTATTTAGAAGAGTAACTATGTATAAACATATCGTGTGGAGTAGGAAGACAAACCCAATATGGAACAGCTAGAAAGATGAAAACTGAGTGCCTTTGGAAGCCACATTGTGGCTGATGGAGCAGCAGAGTCAGGAAACCGGAACATTTTCACTATGAGCTGTCCATACAACTTGTTTTACCCAGGTGAATGTATCCCTTTGTCTACACATTTCAAAAGTAATGGCAAAAATGAAAAAGAAAAACGACAAAAGAAAAACAGGGCAGTTTGTAGCAGTTAAATCATGAAATGGGGTGAAATGATTAAATGGATTTGAAAGGATATTGCTTCAACAGCCATATCGTACAGTACTTGGAAGTAGGCTAGTGGTTATAGAAATTGTAGGTATGTGAAAATGAATGGGGGAGGAATTTTATGAAAGGTGCATTTTAATGAAAGTGTGATGTTAGCTTTTAAAAAAATGTTTAAAATAATGTGAAGAATGAGGCCAGGCACGGTGGCTCATGCCTGTAATCCCAGCACTTTGAGAGGCTGAGGTGGGTGGATTACTTGAGGTCAGGAGTTTGAGATCAGCCTGGTCAACACGGTGAAACCCAGTCTCTTCTAAATATACAAAAAATAGCAGGACGTGATAGCGGGCACCTGTAGTCCCAGCTACTCAGGAGGCTGAGTCAGGAGAATCACTTGAACCTGGGAGGTGGAGCTTACAGTGAGCCGAGATTGTGCCACTGCACTCTAGCCTGGGTGACAGAGTGAGACTTCATCTAAAAGAAGAAGAAGAAGAAAAAAAATACTATGGAGAATGAGTGTACAACATTAGGAGAAAATACTGACACGAGAAAAGGGGTCCTTTTATAGGGAGTTAATGTGGCAGAAAAAAACTCTAACACATACTGCATAAAACAGCAAATTAAAAATACGCACAGTGTAATCTCATAAAATTTTAATGCATATACTTGTACATATATAGAGTTCATAGAAAGTGATTTGATTTCACATTATACTGTGTTGTTTGAGTTTTTGAGACTTTTATGTCTTACTTGCAAAAAAGGAAAATGTTCAACAAGTTTGTTCCATTTTATGTCAATAAAAATGAAAACCTAGAGCAGAGCTTGAAATTGGAAGCCCATCTCCTATTTCACTTTTGTCTACCTGTAAATCACTCTCTACAGAGCAGTCACAGTGATACTGGGTCAATCAGAGCATACCGTTTCCTGATCCAATGGCTGCCTACTCAAAATAAATCTACTTTTTTTTTTTTTTTGAGATGGGGTCACACAGTGTCTCCTAGGCTGGAGTGCACTGGCGCTATCTCAGCTGACTGCAACCCCCACTTCCTGGGCTCAAGCGATTCTCCCACATCAGCCTCCCAAGTAGCTGGGATTACAGGCATGTGCCACCACGCCTGGCTAATTTTTTTTGTCATAAATCCACTTTTTACCAGTGCCTTCAACGCCATAACTGAGCCAGGCTGTGTCCACCACCTCTTCTCAGTCCTTCTTAAGATGTACCCTGTGGTCTACCACACTCCTCCTTCCAGGTCTTTGGGTCTCCTCTTGCGCGGTTCTCTTTGCCTGGAATGTTCTTCCCCTCCCTAGTCACCTGTTTAAACTATGGATCCCTTAGCTCCCAGTTTAATGTCACTTCAGAGACTCTCCCTAAGACACATACACAACCCGCATTCCATCACATGCCTTCGTTGTCTCAGAGCATTGTTCCATTCTTCATAGGACTCACCAACTGTATAGTAATACTTCAAAGAATGACATCATAAATGATGTTTAAAGGAGACAAGTGTACCTGCAACATCTAACGAGCTTGAAAAATGATGGCAACAATCTAATTTTTACCCTATTTTAAGCATTAAACAGACTCATTTTAGGGCAACATCTGTGGGATCTAGGAGTGTTAATAAACTTAAAATAAGTTAAAGTTAAAAAAGAATTGGTGGGAGATTTTAGATACTGAGGACGAGAAGAGAGAAACTGTTTTTTTTTTTTTTTTTTTTTTTTTTTTTTTTTGAGACAGGGTCCCACTCTGTTGCCCAGGCTGCAGCCTGGAGATTTTTGCTCACTGAAGCCTCAACCTCCCTGGCTTAGGTGATCCTCCCACCTTGGCCTCCCAAGTAGCTGGGACTACAGGCACATGCCACCAGGCCTGGCTAACTTTTTATATTTTTTGTAGAGGGGGTTTTGCCATGTTACCCAGGCTGGTCTTCAGCTCCTGCGTTCAAGTGATCCTCCTGCCTCTGCCTCCCAAAGTGCTGGGATTACAGGCATGAGCCACCATGCCTGGCCCAAGAGAAACTGAATACAGTCATGGCCCATTTCTAAACTAGGAGACTGGAACAACTTTAATACTGACAAAAGTGGGAATACAAGAAGGGAACTTAAAAAGGAAAATAATTTTAGGCTTATCAAAATAGAAAGAAGAGTTGAACAGCATTAAATGTGTAACAGTTCCTCCTGTAAGTGGACATACCATGCATTCTCAGGGACAATAATGTCTCCAAGGGGTGAGAATTGGTTCATAGGGGGCACAACAAATCTTTTTATTTTATTTTTTTTTGAGATGGAGTCTCACTCCGTCACCCAGGCTGGAGGGCAGGGGCACGATCTTGGCTCACTGCAACCTCCACCTCCTGGGTTTAAGCAATTCTCCTGCCTCAGCCTCCTGAGTAGCTGGGATTACAGGCACCCACCACCACGCCCGGCTAATTTTTATAATTTTAGTAGAGACGGGGTTTTGCCATGTTGGCCAGGTTGGTCTCGAACTCCTGACCTCAAGTGATCCTCCCCACTCAGCCTCCCAAAGTACTGGGATTACAGGTGTGAGCCACCACGCCTGGCCTCAACTCATCTTTAAATCCCCAGCAACTACCACAATTGACTTGGAATCTGAAAGATAAATATAAGTTCATATTCAATTTAAATGAATAATAAATAACACAACTAAAAGAAAACTTCAAGACAGTCAAGCCTAAGACCCTCAGTTTACAGATGAAAAAACCAAAGTTCATAAGGGTGAAGTGATTTACCCAATGTCACAGAGGAAGGGCAGGGTTAACTAACACTCCCGCCTTTCAGCAGACCTAAGGACAATGTGTGGTACATAGAAAACACACAGTGACTGGAATTAAGTCCTTTCTTTAAATTAAAAAAGTTGTTGTGTAACACACACCAGAATCTCAAAATTTACTAAACTAGCAATCCCCAGTTGCAGCAGCAGTGAATAATTAACCATTAGGGAGCAGGCAGAAGTGAAGGAAGGAAAATGTATTGATTCTACTCAGGTTAGTCTCCCTTCAAGTCCTCAATTACTTTTCAGGGCACAGAGAAGCCATGCTCTCAGTACCTCAAGACAGCTTACTGTCCTCTAAACAGATTTTTCTAAGAGCTCGTGTGTGAGGGCTGTATTTGCCAAGCAAAAAGATGGCCTTTGCTGGTAGTGTTAAAAAACATTTTTTTTTCCTTAAAACGCAGTCTGATATTTTATTCAAACAATTTCTGGTGTGATGACCTGTTTAGTTAACGGAGAAAGAACAGCCTGAAGTTAAAAAAAAACGGGATTTATTTCTGGCCTGCTGCTCTCTGCAACAAAGGACAAGGCACTTTCCTTCGGCTCTCTCAGTTAGCTGAGTTAGAGCTCTCCACCAGAAAACGCCAGGACAGGGCAAAGAGGGGGCCGACCATCTCAAACACCGTGGGATTCTATGTGGAGGCTGACCATCTTGAATACCCTGGGAGCCTAAGGGTTAATTTTGAGGTAACCTCCTACAGATGGTTTTACAGAGACAAATGAGAACTCTCTTTAAAAAAGTATGACTTGGTAATTTAAAATTTACTGGGACAGTTAAATATGTAGACATGCTAGTGAAAGAGAACAAATCAACCTGAGTATAAAGGATGAATAACTCATTTTACCTACCCTAGAGACACTTATATCAAGTGTATAGAGAGTATTTCACAATAAACCTTTGGATGTACAAAGATCAAAAGAATAAAAAAGGAGTGAAACTCTCCTTTCACTAGGTCTGGAAGAGAGAAGGAAGCTTAGTTCTTAAAAAAACACCACAGAGACTAGCCTGGTTGAGAAGCATTTCTAGAGTGATTTTGTAACCACTGTGCTGCCATTTAACGAATTTCCTTGTTTTTGACTCTTTCATAGTTAACAAATTATCACTATTAATATGCATATTTTTTGTGTACAGGTAATATAATATGCTAATCAAAATGGTAAGCTCCTTGAAGAAAAGCACCGTGGTTTATCATTCTGTTTTGCTGAGACCACTTAGCACTGGGATGAGTATGGAATAGCTTGGAATGACTTTCAATGTGAGCGAAATGTCTGGCAGGAAAAGGTAGGCTTCCAGATGCTCCCCAGGAGGGCACAGCCCACTGCTCTGAGGAGTGGAATAAATTCTTGGGTAGGATGGGCCAGTGAAAACTATCTGTGCAGACCCTGGTGACATCATCTGCTAGCTACATGTCCTTAGTATCTTAATGTCCCTATAACCATAGCTATAAAATACCGTACTGGGGGCCTGACAATAAAGAAAACAACACATGGCACAGGGACGTTTCAGAGAGATGGCATTTTAGGAGAAATGGAGCGCCAACTCACCCGAACCTCGGTCATTTCTTACTCCCAGTGGGGATGGATTCCTGGAAAGGCAGAGTTAGGGAAAGAGAAAAAGCCATGAAAATCAAGTCCAGCAAGACTGCAGGGAAAGTTACCCAGCTCCTGCCTCTGACGCTTCTTCAGTCAACCCTTCCACTAGCACTCCCTCCATGAGGTGAGAGGTGACGCATTTTCTGTCACCATCTTCATCTCTCTCCACAGGGCTTTCGATTAAACAAGCCAAGTCCTCCCCCCAAAAAACCAAGAAGCTAAGTAAATTCCGCAGCCGCTGGCAGCTCTAAGCCGTGCCCATTTCCTCAGACTTTGCCGATCTCTGTCCTAAAGTTCTAGTTAAGAGGAGCTCTCGGGTTATATGACCGCTTCTCGGGATGGGTTTCGGTTGCCCAAGACGCCTTCCCCGACCTTATTCTCAGGAGCGTGGCTCGTTCCTGCGGTGCGGGGGCTCAGATGCAAGCTCTTTTCAGCGAAGGCAGTGCTGCGGGCAGAAACCTCAGTCTCTTACAGGAGCCCCCCTCCGTCGCCTAACGTCCACCGAAAACCCCCTGCAATCACGCCGGTCACAGGCGAGGAAAAGGCCGGCGTGGCCAACCACGAAGCCCCCAGCCGGCCCAGGCCAGAGCTCGGCCAGGCGGGAGGAGGGGCCATCGGAGGCTCGGCCGCTCAGCTGCACGGCCCGACAGCCTTCGCTGTGGCCGCAGCCAGGCTCCGGGGGCGCAGCAGCTCGGAAATGCGGCGCCGGGACACACGTGCCGCTGCGGGCCGCGCCTCCGCTGGTCGCGTGCCCTACCATCGCCGCCCTCCCGGCTTCCGCGCCTCGCCGGCCCAGCGCCTTCGCCGCAGCACACCCATTTCCTGACCCCTGAACGCCTCTGTCAGCGGCCGGGGAAGCCCGGCCAGTCTCACCTCCCACGTGGAACCCCACACCTGCAGGGGCCGCATTCCGGATGCTGCCGGCTCGCGCGCCTAGAGCCCCGAAATACAAGTCCCAGCAAGCCGCGGGCGAGCCACGCCCACTTCCGGCGCGGGCCGCAGAGCTCGGCGCGCTCTGCGGAGCGGGATTCTTGGCAGGGGGTGGGGGCCGGCGTGGGGGACCATCTTTGAGTCAGCGATGCGTGTATTCAAGTCCTTCTCCTCGTTTTTTATTACAAACTCATAAGAATTATTTTGGGAATACCTATTAAGGTGTTTTTCATTTGTTAAAATACTATTGGGGGAAAAGGACGTAAATACCCATAATTTCATCTTTACCTTTCAAAACATTCTGAAGTGAATATTTGCTATTCGGCATCTTCCATCTCACCTCTGAAGGTCATCCATTTAACAGATATTATTTGAGAGCCAGCTGTGTACCAGGAGCTGTTCAAGATGCTTGCACAAAAGTCACTGCCCTATTCTAGTGGGGGAAACAAGCAATCCATAAATACAGTGCATACATGGCGTCGTGTGTGTCATGAGGTGGTACGGAAAGCATAGAGCTGGGCGGGGGGTTGCGGGGTGTGAGTGTGTAGGGCTGGGGGTGTACTTTGCAATTTTAGATAGGGGATCTTGGAACAAACACAGGAGGTGAGGGAATTAGACAAGTGGCTCCCAGCAGTCAGAACTGTCCTAAACGCACACAAGGGTTGTTTATGCCAGGATTTTACATTTCTTTCACTTCTCACCGAGTGACACAGAGCTACCCGTTTGGTCTTTTCCCAATTCCTTTCTTTCAGATTTATTTTGGAGAGAAAAGAGATGTTGCCTGGACCTCTCTTATATATCCTCCCCCTTCCTTGGTGTATTAGTTTCCAATTGCTGTCACAACAACTTACCACAAACTTAGTAGTATAACATGTATTCTCTTAAATTTCTGGAGATGCCAAGTCGGAAATCAGTTTTACTGGGCTAACGTCAGTGTCGGTGTGGCTAGTTCCTCCTGGAGGTTCTAGATGAGAATATTTCTTTGCCTTTTCCGGCTCCCAGGGACTGTTTGCATTCCTTGGCTTATGGCTCGCTCCTTTATCTTCAAAGAGCATGACTGCAATCTCTGCCTTCATCATCACATCACATGCTGGGGCACTGACTCCTCGTGGGGCCTTCTAATAACGACTGTTGTGATTACATCAGGCCCAGCTGACTAATCTTGGGGTAATCTCTCAACGTTAAGATCCTTAATTTAATCACATTTCAAAAAATCCCTCTTGCCATAGAAATTAACATCCACAGCTTCTGGGGGTTAGGACATGGACATATTTGGGGGACTATTATTTTCGGACTTCGATGCTTAGAGAGGCCCATGTCCCCTTCAGTCTCCTCTTCAGAGATGCTCTCTTACCTTTTGCCTGGGGAACACAAAATGTCTCCCTTGGACCTTACTCCTCTCCTCAATGGAAAACCACAGAGCTTTTCCCTATTTAGATTCTACCACCCTTGCCCTGACCTTCACTTCCTCATGTGCTCACTCCCCTCTTCGTGCAATATAAGAGGCCATGGCCCCATGGTTATGGCCAGTCCTGTGTATGTGCAGTTACCCTTAACTCTCTTGCCCCAGTCTGTCTTGGTTTTATTCTCTTGATAGAAACCCAAATCTGCTTGAATCCAGTTCCTGACCTGCACCTGTATGGCAGAGGTTGTTTGAGAAAACCACATGGCTGGGATGATTGGTCTCATTTTCAGTTTATAACCATTAAGTTCAAGTGAGCCCTTCATGCTGCCTGGCTATCCTTCTGCATTTCTTAGTCCATCCATTCTCCTAAATGACTGTTTCACAGCTTCTACTCTCTTTTCAGTATTTATTTATTTTTTTGAGCCAGGCTGGAGTTCAGTAGCGCGATCTTGGCTCACTGCAATCTCTGTTTCTTGGGCACAAGCGACCCTCCCACCTCAGCCTCCTAAGTAGCTGGTACTATAGGCTTGCACCACCACGCCCAGCTAATTTTTGTGTGTGTGTGTGTGTTTTGTTTTTTTTTTTTAAGAGATGAGGTTTCACCATGTTGTCCAGGCTGGTCTCTACCTCCTGAGATCAAGTGATCCTCCCACCTCAGCCTCCCCAAGTGCTGGGATTACAGGCTGAGCCACCATGCCTGGCCTTCTACTCTCTTTTCAAGCCTCCAACAACTCCTCCCGTCTCACTAAGTGCTGATGACTTTGCTTTTTGTTACTGAGTAAAGAGAACTTCTGTACAGCCTCACAGGCATGTCTGCCCTCCTTTCTGCATTATAATCTGTATGCTCTACTTTTCTTTCTGAGTGACTGGCCCTAGTTCCTATATAAGAAAATTCTTTTGTACCCTGGATGTTAACTGCCTTCTCGTGAATGAGGGCGTTCTCTCTCTTCTGTATTTCAAGATTTTCATTCTGTACTGAATTATCAGCATACTAATGAATACACTATAATATTGTCCATAAAATAAATAAAACCCCTTACCTTGCACCCTATTTCTCTCCAGCCACTACCTTATTTCTCTGCTTTGCTTTACAGCAAAACTCCTAAAAACATTGTCCCTAAGGGATGTTTCCAATTTCTTTTCTCCCATATTCTCTCTTTTTTTACATGCAAAACCCAAAATTAATTTTTTAACTTAATTTAAAAAATTGATATATAATAGATGCATGTATTTTGGGGGTACATATGATAATTTGATTAATATTATGTGTGAAGATCAAAGCAGGGAAATTGGGATATCTATCACTAAGTATTTGTCTTTTCTGTATGCCAGAAATATTGAAAAGATTCTCTTCTGGCTATTTGAAACATACAGTAGGTTAATGTTAACTATAGCTAACCTACTGGTCTATTGAACACCAGGTCTTATTTTTTTCTATCTAACTGTGTATTATACCTTGATATGGTTTGTCTCTGTTTCCCCATTAAAATCTCATCTCGAATTGTAATCCTCATGTGTTGAGGGAGGGACCTGTAATTCCCACAAGTGGAGGGAGGGAAGTGATTGGATCAACAGGGGCAGTTTCCCCCATGGTGTTCTCATGATAGTGAGCGAGTTCTCACAAGATCTGATGGTTTTGTAAGTGTTTGGAAGTTCCTCCTTTGTTCTTCTCTCTCCTGCCACCTTGTGAAGAAAGTGACTGCTCCTTCTTCCAACATGATTGTAAGTTTCCTGAGGCCTCCCCAGCCATGTGGAAGTGTGAGTCAATTAAACCTCTTTTCTTTATAAATTACCCAGTCTCAGGCTTTTTAGCAGTGTGGAAAAAAAAAAAAAAAAAAAAAAAACCTAATACATACCCCTTAACCAACCTCTATTCAGACCCCCACCTCTACTCTTACTGAACTCTGGTTACCACCAATCTACTCACTATCTTTGTGAAATCCACTTGTTTTTTTTTTGTTTAGTTCCCACATATGAGTGAGAATATGCAATATTTGTCTTTTTGTGCTTGACCTATTTACTTAATATCATGGCCCTAGTTCCATCCATATTCCTGCAACTGACAGGATTTCATTATTTTTTAATGACTGAATAATATTCCGTTATGTACATACACCACATTTCTTTATCCATTCATCCATTGATGGCCACTTAGGTCGATTCCATATTTTGGATATGGTAAATATTGTTGCAGTAAACATGGCAGTGCAGATAGCTCTTCAGTATATTGATTCCCTTTGTTTTGGATATATACCCAGTAGTGGAATTGCTGAATCATATGGTAGTTCTGTTTTTAGTTTTCTGAGGAGCTTCCATACTGTTCTCCATAGTGGTTGTACTAATTTACATTCTCATCAACAGTGTACAAGGATTCCCCTTTCTCCAAATTCTCACCAGCATCTGTTATTCCCTGTTTTTAGATAAAAGTCATTTTAACTGTGGTGAGATGATAGCTCATTGTGCTTTTGATTTGCATTTTTCTCATGATCAGTGATGTTTAACATTCATTTATATACCTGTTAGCAGTTGTATGTCTTCTTTTGAGAAATGTCTATTCGGATCTCTTTTGTCCATTTTTAAACTGGATTATTTGTGTTTTTACATAGAGTTGTTGGAGGTCCTTGTATATTCTTGTTATTAGTCCCTTGTCAGGTGGATAGGTTGTGGTATTTTCTCCTATTCTGTGGGTTGTCTGTTCACTTTGTTGGTTGTTTCCTTTGCTGTGCAGAAGCTTTTTAGTTTGATATATTCCATTTGTCAATTTTTGCCTTTGTTGCCTATGCTTTTGAGGTCTTACACAAAAAAATTTTTGCCCAGACCAGTGTCCTGGAGTGTTTCCTCAATGTTTTCTTCTAGTAGATTCATAGTTTCAGGATTTAGATTTAAGTCTTTAATCCATTTTTATTTGATTTTTGTTTATGGTAAGAGATAGGGGTCTAGTTTCATCCTTCTGCATATGGTTACCCAGTTTCCCAGCATCATTTATTGAAAAGACTGTCCCTTTCTCCAACGAATGTTCTTGGTTCCTTTGTTGAAAATAAGTTGGCTGTAAGTACATGGATTTGTATCTGGGTTCTCTATTCCGTTCCATTCGACTGTTTGTCTGTTTTATGCCAGTACCTTACTGATTTGG